CTTTTACATTCAAACTTTGTAATTCTGGATGCAAATGTAGCAAACTTTTTTTCATTACATCAAACATTCAAACTTCAAACAAAAAAAGTTGGAAGCACTGGAATGTATCTCAGCATGGTTTGTCACACAACAACAACACACAATCACACACAGGCGCACGCACACACTCACCGACAACACACACACACACACACACACACACACACACACACACATACACACACACACAAACACAGACACATTCAAACCTATTCTATTCTAACCTAATTTAGAGTCCTCAATTAATTAAAAGTGCATGTCTTTGTACTACTAATCAGAGTCCCTGGAAGAAACACAAGGAGAACATGGGTTGAAGCTGAACCCAGGCACTTCTTGCTGTTGTCTTCCTGCCTAGACTTTACTATGTGTATTTGTGCATGCAGCATATACAATAAAAGAAAACAGTACAAATTTGACAATGACCAATTCATTTGCTCTGGCCATCTGATTCCATCAGCTCAGGGAACCTTGTTCAATAAACTAGATCTTCGGTCAGTTTGCAAACACTAAAATATGGTATTCTGTATACTGTACCATGTGTGTGTCTGCGTGTGTGTGTCTGTGTGCCTGTGTAAACCCATAGGTATCAATGAAACGTTATCATACATTATAAAATTTTTATTCATACCCTACAAAAACATTTGACCTAATTGGTCAAAATGAAATAGTCTAAATAAAACTAAATACACACATTTCCACAATTAAGTGTTTCTGTTTTAAAAGCACCGTCCTCCAGCATTTAAGAAATGGAAGGTCTTTAGTTTGGTTTTAAAAGAACACATTGATGGGGCAAGTCTCAGATCAGCAGGTAACTGTTTTAGGGGCATAGATGCTAAAAGCCATCTCACTACACTTTGAAAATGCTATTGGCACATGGAGATTTCCAACGTGTGATCTGCTGAGATTGTAAACTAACAGTATGTCTGAGATGTACTGTGAAGCCAGACCAGCAAGTGCTTTGTAGACCAAGAGGAGGATTTTTTAAATTGTATTCTGAAAACAACAAGTAGCCAGGGAAAGTTTCAGAGTAGAGAGTTATGTGGTCAGATTTTTGGCTGGACTGCAGCAGTACGGACGCTGACTGACTGAGTGATGGAGTTGAGTTTTACTGTTAAACCTTTGGTCAGCTGAATACCATGTGACGTTAGTCATGAAGTTACACCATTGGTCTGTTGACTTGTTTTTACTTGTCTGGACTCCAGGTATTCACAGATCAGCAGTCTCTGTTACTGTTTTCTCCCTGTTCAGCTGAATGAAGTTTTCTGTCATCTAGTGGTTATTTTTTCCAAGCAGCTGACTAGGGAGTGTATGAACCCTATCTTTCAGCTGGCATAAAGCACAACTCAAGTCTCTTTGCTAGTTTCAGACTGAAGCAGTGCACACATTGTTTAAATTGACCAACAAAAACTTGGTCTTAAGTAAATGGCACAATATTTCGCCATTATTTTAAGGGCACATTGTCAATATGCACCTACTTAGGTGGGTGCACAGCATGCCTGTTTAGCACAAGCAGAGTGTGCATAACATGAGCTTTAGATGTTTGATGTTAAGTCAGGTGGAACATTAGAATGTAGCCACAGAAGGTCACAGCATTCTTTGTTGGTACAGATAGTTTAAGTAACATTTGTTTAAGCTTTATTAAAGTAATGGTAAAAAAATAAAAATAAAATAAAAATTATACTTTTTTAGCTTTACAGTGAATCGTAGTGTCTCTTGTTATTTCTTTTTCCCCCCAGATGCACCAAGGATCCAGCTGATTACTGGCAATTTGAAGGTGGATTTTTCTTCATCTGCTACATTGTACTGTCACTTCTGGTATAGATTTATTGACCCCTGTGGTATATTTTGATTTTACTTATTAATACATTGTATAGTTGGGATTCTGACATAAAAGATAATATAATGTTTGTCCACATATGTTGTCAGAACTATATGGAGAATATTGTGGAAAAAAAGATAAAATTAGAAAGCTAAATTAGAAAATAAAAGCTAAAAAACAACAGACCACAACCCCCCCAGCTCCACAGCCCACCTCTTTCAGAGGTGAAATGAGGAGAAATGTAAGAATGTAAGTTTCTCTGCAGAAACTTTATTGATGGTGTTTGATTGTAATAAATTAGGAAAAATCTGTAAAATAACAGCTTTTTTCTTCACAACTATGAGTGGCATCACTGTATTAAAGGTCTTTGATCATAATTTGAAAAATCTGTAAAATAACAGATTTTCTGTGTAGAAACATTAATGAAACTTTTTGTAAATTTATTGTTTTTACACTTTATTTGAATTAGGATATTTTACTTTAATTTTACGGTTTTTGTTTGGCAGCCACCCATGTGTCATTTGACTGTTTTTTATGCTTCTTTTTTTTTTTTACAGTGTATATGCTTCATTATTTATTGTATGTGTAGCTTAAATCAGAATCTTCCACTTATGGTACATGATTATTAACAGAGACAAATTAACACCAAATCACAGAAACACCACAACAAGTACATGGAATTTGATGGCAAGCAAATGGGCCACAAACACACATTATTTTAACAAAGTGTGGGTATGACAAAAAAAGGGCAATAACCCACCAGAAAAAGAAAGCCATCTTCTTCAGGCAACAGATTCAAGACAACACCAAAACAAAGTCCATGCAACACTGAGGGGACATCAAACCTCTGGGCCAGGGACCCAGAAATAAAGGAAGAGTTCTAAGTAACAGCAGAAAATAGAAACTGAGATTTTAACTCCTCAGAGGTAAAATAAAAATAAAATAAAATAAAACTTGCCATGTAGTTTGCTGTGGTCACACTCGGGTATGCAAGATCAAAACGGGTAACCAGTGCAGGCTGCAGGTAAGAAATGAAAGACAAGATCACCAGCCAGTATAGAGAGAGACAGAGAGACCCAAGCCCAATGTATCAGGATGAAAAAGCATTAATAATGGTTACCCAATCACATGTTGAGTGGAGGGGAAAAGGAAAATGTTCAAACAGGTTAAGATTGATGAGGATGGGTGTAGTGGATCACACTGGCTTCCTGAATTATTTCAGTTAGTGAGGAAGAACCTCATTAGTTTTGTAGGAGATTGTCACCTCACAGACTGACTGCACATGTGCAAAATAACATGATCATTTTTGCACTACTGAGACTGAAACTGATTTCTAAAGCAAAATAAAGGTTAACAAAACAGAATAGCATTTGTGACAACAAACAGATATCAGCAGTGGCTATCAACTTTGCTACTACTACAAAATATCACTCCTCTGCAGCATACCTGTCCCCACCTGCTAATTTAGCTTTTCCTCACTGCTGTGTACTACATTTACATAAACAATGATCACACTAACACACATGAAGATCAACCAGTTTCTTACCTACATTTTACAATGTATGACAATGGGTCAGATGTCATTGATAATCTGCTGGATGACATCACAGCACCAGATATAACTTTAAGCTACACACAAAGCTAAAGCACTTGGAGCTTATGGCAATAGATGACTGTGATAGTTTCTAACATGTAAACAGGAAATGGTGAGGATTAAAGCATGTGGTCTTATATTCAAAGACTAAAGCATTAACATCATCATCTAGCAACCACACTACAAGGAAAGCACCATGCTCAATCACATTTGATCACATTAAATTTCTGCTACTATGCAGCAGGTTATAGTCAAAGGTCTCCATTGATTCAAGTCAAGGAAAAGCAGTCAAACAAATGCATTCTAATATCATTTAATACACAATGATTTATTTTGATTAGAATCTAATTTAAAGGTCAAAAACTGTTCTTCAACAGCAGATGCTTTGAACACTCACATTAGGAAGATTTATTTTTTCTGTATATGCCACATCAGATCAGATCTATGACAAGGTTGTTTATGACATTACTAAATATATTATATATATTTTTAAACCATCACTACATTTCACAGTAAATAATGTCAAACTACACATGATGAGAATATTAAATGTATAATACCTATAAAATTTAAACTAAAATCATTCTGCAGGTGCACCTCATTGTTCTACCTGTGAGGTAAAACACAGAAAACATACAGCCAATTCATTCTCCATTCACTGAAATAACAAATGGTTTGCCGAGGATTTCAAACATTGCCTGAAATTAACTGCAGACACAGAGAACCTCGCTTCACCTCCAACATCGCCCTCTGCTGGTTCAGACCTTAGCAGAAACACAATCAACCAACAAACTGCATCTGCCAATGAAACTTCCTTTGATCTTTAACACAATGGCCACATTGACCTGGGTTATTTCACACTGTGAAAGTGAACTCCAGAGACATCAGAGAGTGGAGTCCAGGTCAGGGCACATACTAGCACTTCATGAATGAATGTGTGCAAGGAATGGTAAAGGTAGAGACAAGGAAGGACATGAAGGCAGCAATTTTGTCATTTCCTTCTCTAATGATGTATATAAAAACAACAAACTGACAGCAAGATTTCTACCAACAATCAGAGTAATACAACAAAAAAAGGAAAAGTAAAAGCAAAAGAAAGAGGAAAGAATAATTCAGGTCTAGTCTGAGCACATTTCAGATATTGCATCAAAACCTATTCTCTGAAAACTCTCCTGAATTCAACCACAGTCCACTGTCTACTCACCCATCAATGCTAAATACACAAAGGGAATGATATGTGTTCTATAATTTCTCTAAGTATTGTGTATTTCCTCCTTGTTCTCTTTATTACCCAATCATCAGTTGTGTTACAAACACTACAAGTTGTTGTTAAGCACTCTCCCTATATATGCTTCACAAAACACAAAAAGTAATATGAACTTGTATTAAATGTACTATAAAAACACTGAGCATTTTGGGCCACATCTAAGACAAAAAAAGACAAACGGAGGAGTGAGTGGCTATGTTGGCAAACGTTCACAGCGCTGAACTGGGATGGAGGTTGGAGGGTCATGGTTTCTATAATGGGAAAGAGGTTGTAGTGCTGACCTTGAGAGGAGAGATGTGGGAATGGGACACGTAGCCATGCACATTTTCAATCTCAGACAGGTTCTTCTCGGACACGTGCACAAGCTCAGGGGAGCACACTTCATTGGGAAGCTGTGGGAATCCCTGGTCAAGAGGCGGCGAGTCTTCTTCGTGGTAGTGGTACTGCTGCGAGTGGAGAGGCAGAGAGAGAAAAAACGGTGAACATGAGAGAGAAAGAAACGCACAAGTGATGAGATCTAAATCCTATAAGTATGTTATGGTTCTCACAACAGGACTAAACTGTGTACATCATGGTGGTATTGTTTTTTTCTTTCTTTTAAAGACAGATTGTTGCAACAAAATGACTTGTTAAATGACCTCAACAAAAGTTGTGATTTTGAATTTTGAGTGTGAATTTCAAGCTAAATATTTTACAAGCTTGGTCTTTATGGACTCCATGAAAAACTAAGTTTCATTTCAAATGAACATTTCAGACTTTGAAGGAAGCATTTTTTGACCCCAGCATCAGACGTAATGCAATCCAATACAACAACACCTGAGATTAGGGTCTCGAAAATGAGCGTGGAGTTACATTAACATTCTGACACAATGGCGACAGAATTTTCCTGTTACACTATAACCTTTACGAAGGTTTATTACAGGGCTGTAGATACAGATTATATTGTTACTGATGATGTTGATGAATGATGTTGTGCCTTCCTCTTTTCAATGAAATTTGTTACAAGTTAGTAGAGATATTTTGTATAATGTACATGTACAGTACATATGAAATGTATGTTAAAGGAAACTTTACTACCTATTCCAATCCAGTACAAGAACCTGACAATTTCATTTGTGATTTCTTGAATATGTATAATGACTTGATACCCCTGCTCCTACCAAACAGATTCATATTACACACAATGGATCCTGGGTTTGCATGCAAACGTAGTGTTGACATGAATAATGAACAATATAAGTATAGTGATAGTAGAGTCAACAATGGCTCTAAAGTGTGAGGTGACCAAGTGAATTATATGCTTCCCATTACAGTGCATCAACATGATGAAATCTCCACTTATCTTTGAACAGATCAAACATTTCACATATAAAACACTGACACAAATGCAAATGTCGTTATATGGTTAATCCGGATGATACTGTATCCAGTTTGGATGGGGTGAAATAAAACTACCCTCCTCCTCCACTCTCTCACCAAGGGAGCGTTCATCAAGGCAGGGTTCATGCATGGTGGGGGCTGGCCGTTGTGGGGTGACCCCTGTACTGCTGGTGGCCTGTTCTGGAGAGAGCAACAGGACCATATGTGACCACCAAGAGCAAACACAACAGGTGTGACTGAAGAAATTAAGTCCATTAACGATCAGTCATGTCCACAATCCCAAGTATACAACCAGCACAGCCACACAGAAGCAAACACATCACCAAGGAGGCTGAGATGTACTGTTACATACAGGTATCTGTACACCTGTACACACATCAGTACATGCAGGACAGACATGGTTAGAGTGATTACAAACTGAAACAGATACACACACATACACACACACACACACACACACACACACACACACACACACACAAACCCACAGGTAGTAACATATGAACAGAGACAATGAAGTAATCATAATATCATCCAATGACATGGTCACATACTCAAGTAAGATTAAATTATTGGCTGGTAGATCTGTGACACAGATTGAACTGAAGTATGACACAGTTCTTAAAAAATAGAGAAATACATATCATATCCTAATGTAAAATTTTAACTAAATAAAAGGATTATTACAGTTGCACGGACATGGCTGTGTCACTTTAAGTCAGACTCACAACCTTAAATTGCTACTAATGGCAATGTGACTTTGGAGAGGGACCTTGGCCTCAAGGCAAATATTCCCCAAATGATCGAGCAAAAGAAGAAGAGCCACTCTTTACACAATGAGGATGACTGGGAGAACTCGGACAACAATGGGTTACACAAATAGAAGTGATTGTCAATTAGAGAGTATGGCTCGCTGCATCTCTGAAAATTTGTCATTTTATGTTCATGATAGTATTTTGTCATTTGTCACAAACAGGAACCGCAGCCTGTGACCGTGCACAGGAGAAGAGGGTATAAACTGTACTACGAAGCAGGTTATCAAGTGGCTCAGTTATCCCCGGGGTTCTGGTTACATGCACGTTCATGTGAAAGAGGGTTGTTAATTATAAGCAGCATCGTCTGAACCACGAATTAAGTTTTAATAATATGATATGAGAAGACACGCTGATACTTGCCTGTAAATTCAGTTATAGCAATGTCGAAAAGTCATATTTAACAAGGTGAAATATAACTATTGATCACTTTTATTACCAGTACGTTTGAGTATTTTCTTCATTTTGGCTGATGACGAACAAACTGTTATGAGTATGTGATGCAGATTAAACAGTTAAAGTTAATGTCAGGCTGTTTCTGCAGCAGAGAGGAGAGATAGAAAATAGGAGAGAAGCGTAGCGTTGACAGATGACCAAAAGAAGGCCAGAGCTAAGAACAAACGCAGTTTACTTCAGCAGATAATGGCATTACAAAACTTCACTTTCAGTAGCAGCACCGCATAGTACATTAAGAAGTCACCATCTTGATTGACTCACTCTGTATATACAGCATTTCAACTAGTACCTGTTTAATGACAGTGCCGCCTAGTGGTATAAAGTAGAAATCATAAATGACTTAACAAAACATCTCCTCTCTCTGTAAAAGATTACACTCTCACATAAAGTAATTGCGAGCAGTAAAGGCAATCATAATAAGTAAAATCCTGTAGACTGTAGACTATGTAACTAAACACAAATATACCTAAATATTCTTGAGGTAGCATTAGTACAGGAAAATGGAAATAAGGTTGCTTCACAGTTTTACAGTTTGGTGCGCATTTTTGTGCCATAAAGGAGTTCATATGGTGAGGTGGAAGTTGCAGCGTGTGGCGTTGCACAGTACACCTGAAGCCAGTACATTACAGTTTCTTTCCATGGCTGTGACTGTTGGATTGCAGTTTGAATGCAACTTCTGAGGGCACAATGGAATCTTTCAATAGCTCCATTAGCAGCTGGATAGTAAACTGATGTTCTGCTATAAGAGATACCTTGGTTGTACAGGAACAAGGCAAAAGCTGCAGAAGTGAACTGTGGACCATTGTCCGTGACGATGTCCTCTGGGTTACCATGACGACTGAAGACAGGTCAGGAAGTGAATAACATCCACAGTGGTGGCAGTATGTGAAAAGGCAAGCTCAGGCCACTTGGAATAATAGTCTGTCAGTGTGAAGGCATACCTGCAGGCAGGGACAGCTGTGTCAAAGGGTCCAACAATATCAAGTCCAAGTTTCTTCCATGGCCCATGAGGCAATGTGACAGATTGCAGAGGAGCAGGGTGAGTACAGGAGGGTGCTTGCAGGTGACTTATCCCTTGGTGACTATCATGTGCAAGCGTGATCAGTGTGTGCCGTAAGGAGAGTGGTGCAATGAGCCTTGAGCCTCTGAGGATGTAGTTCCTTGACTGAGAGCTCATCTCTGATCTTGTAATATGGAGCCAGACCATCACTCACTGATTTAATGGAGGAAGGCCAACCACTTTCTATTTGTGAGCATAGGGCTGAAAGTTCAGGACAAGAGGAGCAGGTGAAGTCAAAGTCAGCCACAGGAAGGGAGCTGAGAGTAGCAGAAATCTGTGCCACCACTTCAGGTTCTGCATGTAGGGTGGAGTCAGACTGCACAGGCAAGGGAAGGTGTGAGAAGCAATCAGCCGTATAGTTCTGGGAACCTGGTCAGTAGATATCGTAATCAAAACAGAGCAAGCGTGCAGACCAGCAAGCAACACGCATTCCAGCCTGACCAATTCCTTTTGTGCTGAGCAGTGTTGTTAATGCCTGGTGGTCTGTGTGGAGAGTAAAATGACGTCCCCACAGAGTATTTCGGCTCTATTTCAGTCAGTGTGCGGGAAGCAAAAGCCACTGGCTTCTCTGTGCCATCAGGCTGTACTTGTGCAAAGACAGCACCAAGTCCATAATCACTTGTGTCTGTGGCTATCACAGGGCGTAGAGAGGGGTCAAACAGAGCCAGTGCCGGACTGTCCACAAGGAGTTTCTTGACTTCCTCAAAACTGTTTTGTGCTCCAGGACTCTGTAAAGGTGTCCTTGTCAGTAGCACATGCACACATAGGGGCCACAACTGTTGCAAAGTTAGTCAAAAACTTTGAGTACCACAATACCAGGCCCAGAAACGACCTCAGGGTAGCAGCATCAGATGGAGAAGGAGCTTCAAGGACAGCATCAATGTGCTCTTGGTCAACACAGGAGGAAGGACAGTATTGCCTTTAATGCAGAAACGTAGGAATGCTCACTGAAAAACTCTCAGCGTTGACACAGATTCAGTCTTTGTCAAGATGAATAAAAAAATTTAAAAAACTGTGTGTGTGCAGCTGTGTGTCTGGAGTGTACATTGGCTCAACATGTTTGTGCCTGTGTGCTTTGTGCTCACAGGTAGGAGTTTCATTCAAGCTATTGAATCAGTTTTTCAATACACTCTGTAATTACTTTCTTCCAACAGGATTAATCAGTAGATGGCAGGAGATGTGTTGAAGGGTTAGCCTGACAATGCGGGGCCTGGATGCAGCAGATGGGCCTATTCTTTTATCAATAGGTCCATTTCTATTGCCTCTAGCTGCTAAGATACTTATTGCCAGGAGAGTTTGTAGAAACACGTGATGCTGAGTAGCAGACAGTGCTTCCCTCAGTTCTGGCTCTGTTGCACAGATCGGTGTTCAACAATAAATGATCATCTCTGCAGAGAGTGAGGCTATTACAGAACTTAAATCCAATCAGGATATCATAATAAAACAAGCTGATAGAGGAGGTGCCACTCTGTTACTAAATACAACAGATTGTGTTACTGGAGCTGGGAGACAATAAAGCAATTAGACAGTCTAGGAATTGTAAATTCTAATTCTAATCCAGTTTATGAAAGACAGAGACAACATATCGAACAGGTCATTAGGCTACGTTTGAACTGGATAACTAAAGCTAAGGGCAACTTTATAAAGCTGGAACACCCCACAGTACCAGATCTTTACATGGTCCCTAACATTCATAAGAGTCTCACTAATCCTCCAGGAAGATGAGTTTATGATCTAA